GGCCCCCCCCCCCCCCCCCCCCCGCATGCCAAATCTCCTTCTGCTTTCCTCAAGAGGTAGTTAAGAGATCTACCTCCAGTGTCTCAAATGAGACTTCCAGCTTGAACAGGATATTGCACTTGCCAGAAGGACTGACTGGATATGGTTAATATAGAATGATGATGCCCCTGTAACATTCTACCCAACATGCAAGATGCCCTCTTGGTCTCCAGACTGACCAGAGATGGCTTGGGGAAATGGCTAACAAGCCCTGTTTTAGACTTTTCCTTGGCAGGATGGCTAACCTACCCTGTGTCCCTAGGGGGCTCTGAACTTAGGGGAGTATTGTGGCACCCTGTTGTATTAAGCTACCTCTGCATCCTCTCAAAGAACTAGCTTCTCTAGAGGACTCTCCCTGTGGGGCTGTTTAGAGCTATGAATCTCACCCCTGCAGAGCAAGTACTACCAGCTAATGCTACTGCTGGACATGTCCACACTGCCTGGGCACTGTGCGCCAATCGGAGCCCCAAGTATGTCCTGCATACCTGTTCCTGGAGGCCCAGAAATAGACTGCTGAGGCTGTTCCAGGGTTGCCACAAGCATGCCAGACTAGTGTCTTGAGTGGCCACAGGAGGCCTTGCAGCACTTTTTTTGCTTGGTGCCTTTCTGGTTTTGGTGCATGCCTGTAGCTGCAGACAGGTAGGGAGTAGTTGGGAGCTGCTCAGCTGGCACATGGCAGCTCTGTAGCATAGGTAGGTCCTGTTTGTTATACTCTGCTTTGGGCAGATATGACTGAACCAACTTCCTGGAACAGTCAACAATGGGTTAACATTGCACCTAAAACCATTGGTGCAACCTCTATTATGGTAGGGACACCTGCTTCCTCTGGCAGGTAGTTGGGAGGGGTGTCTGGGAAGGGCAGGTCAGGCACCTTGGGGGTCCTCAGCTTGTCGCAGGCTGCCTGCCTGCTCTGTGCTCTAGCTGGCAACCTTCTTGGGCATTCCCACACAGCATGCATTACCAATAAAGTTTTATGGAGTTAAATATTACTTTAGGTGCTGGCAGTTCTGAGCTGCATAATGTGTAGGCTGGGGTCCTCTTCCAGTGCAGAGGCCAGTGCCAGGGTGGGATAAGATCAGGCTCCAAGGACTCCCATACTGAAGCTGTGGATAAAAGCCTTGCCGAGGTGCTGTCCTCCAAAGCCAGTCTTGTTTGGAAATAGCATGCTGAGTCTTCCCTCCCATGCTGGCTGCTGGGGTGGGTAGTGGAGGTAACTCTGCCCTTCCTGCAGTGACACTATCTAGGAACTTGCACCATTCAGGGTGCCTCCTTGCAGCTGCTTCTCCCCAGCGCATTGTGGTAACTGGAAATGGTGTCCACCTTGATGACTAGAGGATGTCCCAGCACTGCCGGGAACAAGGTACCTGGTGCTAGACACCCTCTGCTCTAGCAACTTAAACTCTTAATCTTTTAATGGTATGAGCTCATGTGACTCCAAATGAGCTGGGGTGCAGAACTCATGTCTGGAGAGACAAGAGCCCAGTATGCCCATTGGTAAGGACCCTCTTCTGCTGGTAATATGAGGGGGTTCTCCCACTTTACTCCTGAACCCTGGGAGTGACTTGGTAACATAACTCAGCTAGTCGTAAGCTTGCCCTGGACTTTGGTTTAATGACTCTTGCTCGGATGGCAGGGGATGAAGGGCAGTGTGAGCTTGGCTTTTCAAATCCAAAGTGTTCAGCAACCTGCCTGGTGACTAGGCTGAACATGGCTGCTCCTGCATCCTTGACAGCAGTTCTGCTGGAGATAATGGCCTAGCACAGCAGGATGGTGTTGCTGTGGGAGCTGCCCACTAAACCCTTCTGTTCCAGGGGACTCCCACAGTGGCTAAGCACCAATTCTCTCAATGTCCCGTCTTCCTCCCCACCTTCTCTCAAATCCCTCCTTTGATGTCCCCAGTGAACTCCAGCCGCGATGCCACAGCAGGCTAGCCCTGAAGCTCAGAGCTGTCCCTGGCGATGGGACACCCTAGTGATGCCTATTTGCAGCTAGTGGAGTGGCTGTACTACAGCTCCATTCCTAGAGGTGTTAAGCATGATGGCACCCACGTCTGGAAAGACTGGTAAGGTCACCATCTCTACTCCAGGGTGCACAGCGGGATTTGCAAGCTTCTGCCCATCTCTGTTGCCCATATCTCCTTGGCAAGCCAGTGCATGGGCCTCACGCTAGCCACACACCAGAGCCAGACATTCTTTCTAACCCACATCTCAACTTGGCAGCACACAACCTGGCACCACAGCATGGCACCATCTGACAACCAACTTCTCCCAAGCAAGCTAGGATTGACTTTTTAAATCCTTCTTTCTGTGGGAGGGGAGGAACCTGGCCAAACAATGGCAGGAGGGAGGTGGGGGGAGGAACAGTACCCTGTGACTTGG